GACTACTAAAGTGGAAAGGGAGGAAGGAGGGCAAGGGTTGAAAAGCTGTTATGTACTACACTCACTATCTGGATGATGGAATCATTCATATCCTAAACCTCAGCATCATGCATTATACTCATGTAACAAGCATGCAAATATACTCTCTGAGTCTAAAATAAAAGTTTCCATTATAAAGCATAAATAATAAAAAGTAATCAGAAATAAAACCAGAACTCTTATATAGACAATTAATGGGTGGTGCATGGGCAGAAACATTTATGAAGATTATCCAGGTGATTATATGTCATCACAAATGTATAAAGTTTTTTTTTATTGTGCACACACATTCACCAAAACCAACCTTCTAGTATGCATTCAGAATATATTTGTATTTTTAATTGTATATCAGAAAGAGAAACCATAAATTGTACCTATTCTAATTGTGGTATAGTATGGAATATAGTCTAATATAAAGTATTAATATACTCCCTCAGTACCTATATATGTTAAGAAGAAATTTCTGAATATTAAAAAAAATCTGTCTTGATTGTTTTTATTTCTGTAGATGACAAAGTATTTAATTAATATAACATCTGATGATCACTTAGATTGTCTTACTTTTTTCAGATCTTCCAATTATACTACGATAACCATTGCATGATTATTCATTTAAAAAATATATAAACATATCTGAATGAAACAAAGTCCATATCAGAAAGTGAATAGCTTTATCTGAATTGACACAAAGTTAGAGAAAATTGTTTGCTTTCTTTATAAATGTTCATATTTTTATTACTTTCAAATAGTTGTATAAATAAACACAATATATGTTGATAAAATGGCACACATAATTAGTATAGAGAGCTACAAATTTGCATAAAGAAACATACACATTATTCTAGCACTCATTTAATGAAACATAAATCTGTTGGCAACTCAAAGTAATTTTTATTCCCTCCTTTCAATCACTAGTAGTCCTTTATTCCTTGTGTCGAATGACTATTCTAACATTAATTGTACAGATTTTAATTTTTACAGTAATGGAATGAAACATTTTGGTCTCTTTTGTTTGGGTTCACATTGTCATTTTAATCTCTGTATATTAAAATATTTCTTTTTAATGTTTGCTGTTTTTTTATTTTTCCAGTGTAGATCCATTTCAAGTAATGCCTCTGTAAATATCTCTATAATTTAAAAATCATAACAGCTTTATTGAACTGTATTTTATGTATTATACAATATACCCATTTGAAGAGTATAAAGTGTGTTTAGTAATTTAAAGAGTTCTGTAATCATCACCAAAAAATGTAGAACATTATCATTGCCCCAGAAAAAAAAAATTGTTAGCCAATAGCAGTCACTCTCCATTTCTTCCAATACCCTCAATCCTATGCAAGAAGTTATTTACCTTCTATTTCTATAGATGTGTCTATTCTGGACATTTTATTAATATGTTTTATTTTGTAATTGGCTTCCTATTTATAACAATGTTTGTAAATTTAATTCATGTTACATCATGTATTGATACTTTATTTCTTTTATATTACCTTGTGTGGATTCACTACATTTTATTTATCCATTAGTGAGTTGATGGACATTTGGGTTTCTTCACATTTCAACCATTATGTGCAATGCTACTATGAAGACACGTGCACATGAATTATATAAACAAAAAATTTCATTTCTATTAAATACATACCAAGAAGTACAGTTGATGAGTAATTTGATAAATTTGTGTTTAAACTTTTAAGGACTTGCTAGAATATTTTCAAAATTTAATGGCTGTATCATTTTTTATTCTCACCAGCAGTGATTGAATGTTCCAATTTCTCCATAACGTTTGTAAAATATTATTCTCCATCTTTTTCTTATAGCCATCCTACTGGATATGTGGTGGTATCTCATTGCAGTTTCAATGTGCTTTACTCTAAGAATTTATGATGTTGAGCATCTTTTCATATTCTTAGTGGCAATTTGTTTGTCTTCCAGATACATGTGTATTCAGATATCTAATTGCTGTATTTAATAGATAATTTTTATTTTCCTTATCAAGAATTCTTTATGCATTTTAGATTTAAGTCACAAATGAGATAAACAACTTGAAAATATTTTACCTTACTTTTAATTTTCACTTTTTCCATGTCATTTTCAGGCAAAACTTACTAATTTTGATGATATCCAATGTTTCTATTTGTTTCATTTTTTTTTTTGCTCTTGTGCTTATATTATCACACCAAGAAAGGTTTTGTCTAACTCCAGGTGGCAAATATTTACTCTAATATAATACTTTTAGAGCTTTTATGCTTTTAGCTTATATATTTAGGTCTAAGATCCATCTGAATTAAGTATTGTGGAACTTTTGAGATTGAGGTCCAACTTAATTCTTTAGCAAAAGACAATCCAGTTGTTCAGTGCCATTTGTTGAAAAAAAATTCTTACCCCATTTAATAGTTTTTGTTGCCTTTTAGAAAATTAAGTGAATATGAATTTGAAGGATTATTTATTGATCCTCCATTCTATCCCTTATTTAGATTGTTATTATTTCAGTACCATACTGTCTCCATTTTTGTAACTTTGTGTAAAGTATGAATGCTAGAAATGTAATGCCTCCAAATTTATTCTTTTTTCTTTAAAGATTTTTTGCGCCTATTAAATTTTCTTTTGAATTTAAAATCATCTTCTCAATTTAGCAAAGAAGCCATCTGGTATTTTAATAGGAGTTTTACTATTTCTGTAAATCAATGTGCTGATTATTGTCCTCTTAAAAATAGTATCTCTTTCAAATCATGAACATAAAATATCTTTAGGTTTATTTAGGTGTGTTTTAATTTTTTAACAACATAACTATTGTTTTTAGAGTATAAATTTTATACTTTAAAATTAATAATTTTATTTTTATTAATCAAATTTTTAAATATTAAATAATTTTATATTTTTATTTATATTTTTCTTTAAATTTTAAATAAATAAATATTAATTAATAAATTTTTTAAATTAATAATTTCATTTTTATGGCATTCTATATAAAATGTTTTCTTAATTTTACTTTCTATTTCTTATTAGGATATGCATATAGTTGATTTTTTAATATAGATTTTTGTACACTGAAAGCCTAGATGAAATTAAAGGTTATGTGATATACATTAGTATACAGTAATAATAATATAATTAATTTTACTCATGATTATTCTTTTCATGTGGATTCAAATATTGTGTGGGATCAATTGCTTTCAGGCTAAAAATTTTCTTTAGACTTCCTTACATAGTGTAACAGATTCTCTGAATTCTTGTCAATTAGCTGTTAGTTTTGTCAATTTTGTCTCAATTATTGGAGAATGTCAGTATTTCCATTTTTTAAATAGTATTGCTGGATATAAGATTCTTGCTTGATTGCTTTGTCACTATTGTTTTTTGTTTTTGTTTTTCTCTCTGGAGTTGGAATATCTCACTCCTTCTCATCTCTCTGATTTTTCATTAAAAAATCATATGTTAATCTTATTGGAGTTTCTTTGTGATTGGTGAGTCATGGCTGTCTTGTTGCTTTCAAGATTTTGACTTTCTTAACTTTCATTGTTTTCACTATAGTGTGCTGTGGGTGAATGTTGCTAATGGAATTCTTAGAGCTTCTTGTTGGTACATATTGATGTTGTTTATTTTTTCCACATAGGGATTTTTCAGTCTTTATTGCTCCAAATGTTTTTCAGCCTTATTACTATCACCTCTCCTTTCAATATTTCAATTTACATATGTTGCTTTGCAAAGTGGGGACACCACATTTCTTGGAGGGCCTGTTCATTTCTTTTTATTTCTTTATGTTTTTGAGATTTCATAATCTTGATTCTTCTCTTTTTAAGTTTATGGATTCTTACTTCTTACAGCCCACATCTACTCTTGAGGAACCCTAATAATTATTTTATTCAATTTTTGTACATCTTAAGTCCAGAATTTCCAATTGGTTCTTTTTTGAAAACAAACATTTGCTCTCTCTTTAATGATACTATTTAATTAGACATTGTCATTGTACCTTCCTTTACTTTTTAAGATTCATTGTCATTATTTCTTTGAATATATTCTTCTTTTTTATTATCATACTTTCAGTTCTGGGGTACATGTGCAGATCATGCAGGATTGTTACATAGATATACACATGCCATGGTGGTTTGCTGTATCCATTGCTCCATCATCTACATTAGGTATTTCTTCTACTGCTATCCCTCCCCAATCCCCCTACCACCTGCTGTCCCTCCCCTAGCTCTCTCGTCCCACAACAGGTCCCTGTGTGTGATGTTCCACTCTCTGTGTCCATGTGTTCTCATTGTTCAACACCCACTTATGAGTGAGAACATGAGGTGTTTGAATATATTCTTAATGGCTGTCTTAAAATCTTTGTGTATCTGCTAATTCCACCATGCAGTCCCTCTCACAGGCAGTTTCTGCCACCTATTTTGCCTGTCTTCTCTTCCCAGGTATTTTTCATGCTTTCCTATTTTTATGCATGCTTCTTGGTTTTGTGTTAAAAACTGGATCATCTAGATAATATTTTGCAGCAATTCTTAACACCAATCTTCTACTCTCTAGTTCTTTGCTTGTTTACTTAGTTACTAAGTTGGACTATTTTAATGAAATGTATTTCCCTACAACACGATGAGTCTGATGTCATTCATAGCACAGCTTCCTTTGACTATTTATTTCCTTGGACTCTCTATTAACCTGTCTGCCTTTTTTGATAATACACCTAGCTTTTAGGCTCTGCTAATTGTCTTCTGACTGTGCTATTGCTTTCCACTAAGCTCTTGGAAATGAAATGTTCTATAGTTTTATTTCATTAAATTCTAGTAGCTGTACAGGATTATTTGGGATGGCAGATCTTCAAAGTGTTTCTAAATCTAGGAGGAAATTTCTTAGCTGTGACTTTTCCTGCTTATTACCAATCAACTAGCGAATCTATTGTTTATCTTCTTGCTTTCATGGAGCTGCCAGCCTTAATTTAATTGCTTACCAACAAAACCTACTTTGTTTCAAAAGTGAACCTATGTTTCAGCCTTTCCACATTCTGTTTCAAAAATAAGTTAGTCACTATGACAAGAGATTCAGAACTCTCTGTTTGGATTCCAATATATAATTTTGATGGATATAATCATTCCATTTTCTTGGTATGTATGTAAAAGCGGATTTCTTTATAAGGTAAGTGTATTTTTAACTTTGGCAAAAACTGCCAGACAATTTTAGAAGTAGTTCTAGAAATATATTCCAATTTTCAATGTATCATCGTTTCAATTGTTCTTCATTCTCACCAAAAGTTAGCTTCCTCTATAATTTTATTTTAGTCTTTTATGTGTATGGATACTAGTATCTTTTTGTCATTCTGATTTAGATTTTTCGACATAACTGATGTAAATGAGCAGCCTTTCATATGTTTATTGGTCATTGGTCTATCATACAAATTTGCTTAAATAAGACTTATTTTTATTGAATTTTTGCTTTTTACTTTGTAGATCTCTAAGTATTCTAGATGTTATCACTATTGTTGAATATATGTATTTCAAGAATTTTCTCACATCCTTTTGGTGTTACTTTTTCAATCTTTTGTGATGGCTTCTAAAGACATTGAAAAATTTAATGTAGTTAGTCCAATGTATATATATGTATTGTTTGTTTATTTACTGGTTTTTATGGTTATTGTCTTCTGTCCCTTATTCAAAATCTCTTCCTACCAAGAGTTAACAGATGGGAATGTGCATGTGTATATGTATATATCCGTGTATACATATACATGATTGCTAGAAGCTATCTTTATATTTTATTTAAATTTAAATCCCTTGGAATTTATTTTTTACTATAATGTAATAGGTGTAAGAGGTTAACATTAATTTTTTTCTTTCCTATAAATAGCTAATTGGCCTAGCAACTTTCATTGAAAATACCATAATTCTTCCAAAAACTGCAAAGTTACTTTCCTTGTAAATCAGATGATTGGACTGTTTATGGACCCTACATTCCATTTGTCTCCTAACTCCAATATCTAACTCATATAGATCTATTTGTTTTCTCTGTTTCCATAATCCTATTAATTCTTCTTAAATTATAAGTTAACTACTGGTTATTAACTGTACATTTATATTAGGAAATTTTATATTAAGAAAATATAGGTGGTTGGGATGCTATTATCTTTTAAGTTTCACCCTTTTTTTTTTACTGCTAGCTAATTAGAGAAATAACTAATCATTAAGGATCAAGCTGTTGATTGTCCACTTAGGCACTTCCCGTTGCTCATTTCTGGATGCTAGTATTTGATTCATTATAGCAGCAAAACTATGAAAAAACATGCTCTAGCTTTGAAGATTCTCATCCTGAAAAGCTTCTGAATTTGGAAAAAGGCCTAAGAAATGGGCAGTATCTTGAGCCCTTCAAGTCTTCTAGTGAGATCTGATGGTTTTATAATGGGCTTTTCACTCTTTTGCTGGGCATTTCTCCTTCGTGCTATCATGTAAAAAAAGACATCTTTGCTTCCTCTTCTGCTACAAGTGTTAAGTTTCCTGAAGCCTCCCCAGTGCCATGGAACTGCAAGTCAATTAAAGCTCTTTCCTTTGTGAATTACCCAGTCTTGGGCATGTTCATAAAGCAGCATGAGAATGGACTGATAAATAAATAAATTGGTACCAGTAGACTGGGGTGCTGCTATAAAGTAGCTGAAAATGTGAATGTGACTCTAGAACTATATAACAGGCAGAGGTTGGATCAGTTTTGAGGGCCAAGAAGACAGGAAAAAAAGTTGTAATATCCATATGCAGGATTTTGTGTGAACTTCAATTTTCCACCTTTTTAGGTAAATACCTAAAAGGTATTTTAATTAAAGAAGTTTAATTGATGGATTATATGTTAAGATAATGCTTAGTTTTGTGAGAAACAACCAGTCTTCCAAAGTGGCTGTACTACTTTGCATTTCTGTCAGCAGTGATAAAGAGTTCTGATTTCTCTGCATTCTTGCCAGCATTTGTTGTGGTCAGTGTTTTGGGTTTTGGTCAATTAATAGGTGTTTAGTGGAATCTCATTATTGTTGTAATTCCCTCATGATATGTGATTTTAAATGTTTTTTCATATACTTATTTGCTATCTGTGTATCTTATTTGGTGAGGGGTCTGTTCAAGTCTTTGGCCTATTTTTTAATAAAGTCTGTTAATTTTCCTATGATGTAATTTTTAAAAATCCCATCCATGCCATTTAACAGCACTTTTGACAGCTTACTTTTAATGTGCATTTCTCTAACATTCAGCTTAGTATTTACAGAAAAATAATGCCATGTACTTTTTTGTTATATTTTGTAACAAAATATTTTATTTGTTATATTTTGTAAAGTTAACATTTTTACAACAAAAATTGGTATAGTTAGTTTTGCAAACATAACTGGCCCCTTGGTGACATGTGCTTGCATGGTTGAGAGCAAAAGTGTGCAAGTTCAGACTGGTCTGAATATCAGGAAGCATGTTTTGTGGATGAAATGAAAAGCTTTAGTTACTCCATTTTGTAGCACGTATGAAATGTATTATCTCACTTAATCCTTGCAAGATTCTGCCCCGTATTTGTCAGTCCTCTTTGATAATTCAGCAAACATCAAAGACAAATAGTAAAGCAGGTTCTCGAATCCCCAGAAGATTTTTGATAGCAAATTCAATATTTTTCTCACAAAACACACTTTTTTTTTATAATGGAAGAAAATTTACACTTTTTAAAGTAGCATTTATTTAAAAAAAGTAATTAACAATTTCATAATAATAATATTAAGTACCCACTATTTAATGATGGAACATCAAAGTCCATTATGACTGGAGGGTGGACAGGTGAATAATAGAAAATGAGACATGTGTGTGAGCGTGAGTGTGTGTGTAAGTGTGGGAGAGTACGTGTGTATGCACATAAGCAGATTGTTTAAGGCCTTGCTGGCAATTTTTGGTTATTTGACTGTAACGAAGAGTCAGATGGAAAGCAATTCAGGAGTTTTAAGTAAACGAAGTTGTGATTTAACTTGCATTTAAAAGTGCCAACCTGGTTCATGGGTAGATAATAGAATGTCAGGAGCCATGATGAAAGAAAGGGTAGACATTATAAGAGCTGCTGAGAGGCCGAGGCGGGTGGATCACGAGGTCAAGAGATAGAGACCATCCTGGTCAACATGGTGAAACCCCTTCTCTACTAAAAATGCAAAAATTAGCTGGGCATGGTGGCACGTGCCTGTAGTCCCAGCTACTTAGGAGGCTGAGGCAGGAGAATTGCCTGAACCCAGGAGGCGGAGATTGCAGTGAGCCGAGATCATGCCATTGCACTCCAGCCTGGGTAACAAGAGCGAAACTCCGTCTCAAAAAAAAAAAAAAAGAGCTGCTGAAAAAAATTAGCTGTTAGCATTCATCTTCTTGATCATTTCAAACCTATAAAGCAGGTATTAATTGTTCAGGCTAGTTTGAGTGCAAGGAAAAACCATTCATTGTGGTTATGCTCAAGCATAGTTTCATGGAAATAAGAATCATTGCATGGTTATAGCAGATTTACATATGTCAATGTAGGAGTTCAGAGTTTTGACTGTAGGACTAGAGAAGTGACATCACTACTCTCTCTGTATCTTCTCTATTTCTACTTAATACAAGTTTTTATGATCACATTGTTTTGTGTGTGGTTTTGTTTTCTTCAGTGTTGTTGCTTATTTATAATTTGTCTTACTTAAGGCAGATTGCTGTATCTATACATTCTTCGTCACAGATTTTTAACTTACAATAAAAACTGCCTTATTTTCTTGCTATTTTACTCTTAAAACTTATAAGAATTACAAAGTGTTCTATGAACATTAGTAATGATCTGATGTTTATCAACAGTAATAATAGTAATTGATTACTATTAAGCAGTAATTTTGTTTGTTTGTTTTGAGACATAGTCTCGCTCTGTCACCCAGGCTGGAGTGCAGTGGCATGATCTTGGCTCACTGCAACCTTTGCCTCCCGGGATCAAGTGATTCTCCTGCCTCAGCCTCTTAAGTAGCTGGGACTACAGGCGCGTGCCACCATGCCTGGCTGTTTTTTGTGTTTTTGGTAGAGACGGGGTTTTACTGTGTTAGCCAGAATGGTCTCAATCTCCCAACCTAGTGATCCATCTGCCTCAGCCTCCCAAAGTCCTGGGATTACATTCAAGAGCCACTGTGCCTGGCTTAAGCAGTAATTTTATGGTAACTTACATTTAATATTCAATGTAAGCAAGAATCTTATAGTCACCTATATTTGGATTCACATCTCTTGTCCAAGCAAATATTGTTGTGTGCAAGAAATTGTAATTCTCTTAGAGAATTCTTTTAGAAGTAGTAGGATAGAGAATGTGTGACCCTTTTAGGGAGCATGGAATTGCCTGGAATCATGATATTTCTTGGTTGCCTTTCTTTTTCATCCTCAAATAAGTCTTGGGGAAACAAATGCAGATATTGCCTTGCAGTTAGTACATTTTGCAGCCAGACTTCAAGCTTCCATAATTTACACTCTATCACACTGTCTTATATTCAGGAATGCAAAAGAAACTTACAACCACCTACTACATTCATTTATTCACAAGATGTCTATTGAGTTCTGTTGTGTGTGATGCAGTATACTAGAAGGTATGTTAAAAAAATCCCAGTGTGATGATTATCTACAGCAATCACAGCATCTATTGACTAATAGATCCTGCATATTCTATACTCTGATAAGTGCCATGGTATAAAAGAGCACAGGAGAGTGAGACTTAAGCTACTGATATTTTGTAGGTGTAAGTATGAAGTGGTCAGAAAAGCATTTCAAAAAAGGTTGGTGCTTATATTGAGCTTGATGACGGAGCAGGCCTACTTGTCCCAGGAAAAGGAGCTATGTGTGCAATACCATAACAAATAATGACATCTTAATAGAATGCCCAATAAGCTGGCATTTTGGGATTTTACAGTGGATGTTGAGAAGTATCTGTAGTTAATCATGAAAACATAAACAAAACAAGAACAGGAGTGTGTTTGAATCTGTGACAGTTTTTAGGGAGTGTACAATTTGACAAGATTTAAATTTCAAGAAATTTATTTTGGAAACATTGAAAGGATTGAGGTTCAAGAGCAAAAGCAAGTTATTCAAATATGAGTCTAGTATATTAATATTCAAGCCAAAAGGATAAAAAAATAAAGGTATGAACAAAGACATTGGCAAAGGAGTTTAAAGTAGCTTGTCAACAAATTTATTATTTAAGCTCTCCAAGATTTACTGACTAACTGAAGGTAAATGAGAAGGAGAAGTAGAATGTTTTGTTCACAGGCTTCTGGTTGGCCAGTTGTGAGAAGAGTTACACCATTTAACACGAAATGAAATAAGTAGGACAATTGAGGGTAGTACATTTTGTATGTAAAGAGAGAGAATAAAATAGAAGAAATGGGGAAAAGTTATAGTATTTAAGAGAAGAGATGCCATTAAATCTATAACCGATATGGGAATAATTGATAGCATAACAACTTTGAATCTTCTAACCTGGAAAAATGGTAGAAAGTTCCAAGTATTTTGACTTCTTTGCTTTCTTGCAGCAATGTTGGGTGGTTTGGTCTTGAATATATTTTGCTAACTTCTGTAATTTCTATATTGCTCTAACATTGCCTTTTGGAATGTTGCTGAATTCAGTTTTTAATCATAGTCAATGATGATTCACAAAGCAATGTCTTAGGATTTCCTATGCAAGTGATTATCTGAGTACAGAATTGTCTTTTTCTTTTCACATCATTGAATACTTCTTTTTTGAGACTACTGCACTGTATAGAATCTTCAGCACAATGTGGAAAATGAGGGTAACAGTGAACATTCTCTCATGTCACTAAGGGGAAAACACTCAGCTTTTCATGATTAGTTTAAAATGTTCCCTATAATTCCTAGTGTGCTAAGAGTTTTTACCATGAATGGATATTGGAATTTGTCAGATGCTTTTCCTGTACCTACTGAAAGTATCATGTTTCCTTTATTCTATCAATCTGATGAGCTACCTTGATATTTTTCTAATGTAATACTAATGTTGCAGACCTAGGAAAAATCTCAATTATTCATCATGGGCTAAAACTATATATATTGGGAGATTTAGTTTGGTAATATTTTGTTAAGTACTTTTGTCTGTTAATGCCACGTAGTTTTCTTGTACTATTTTTTCATGTGAGAATGTCAGAGCAATCCTGATCTCATAACACGAGTTGACAATTGATTATATTTTCTCTAGTTTCATGAAGAGTTTGTCAATGCTTGGTGCAATTTAACCCTAAATGTTTGCTAAACATCACAGATGTGATGAGATTGCTGCGAATTTATTTTTGAGGGGGTAGATTTTGAATTAAGAAATATGTTAGTAGAGATTAGGCAATTCATATTTTTTGTTTTTTTTTGGCATTAGACTGAATAATGTATGCATTTTGAGGAATCTGGTTCATTTGATGACTTTATAAACACATGCTTTTTTGTAATATCCACTTATTATCCATTTACTGTCTCCAGAATCGATAGTGCCATTTCCTTTCCTTCTTGGATGTTAACATGACTTATTTATTATCTGCCTTAATACCACTCTCTCACAGTAGAGGTTCATCTATTTTAACAATTTTAAGAAAAACACATTTGCTTGCATTCATTTACTCTGTTGTTTGTAAAAGATTTTGTTAAATTTCATTGTTATCATTATTATTTATTATTCTCAGATTACTATGGATTTCGATTCCCATTTTTGGGGGAGAAAGCTTCTTAAAGGGGTCGCTTACATTATTAATTTTCAACCATTGCTTCTTTCAATATGAACATTTAAAGATATACAATTTTTTTCTCTAAACACAGCTTTAGCTTCAGCCAATAAATATGAATATATTGTTCATTATCATTCATATAAAAATATTTTCAAATATGTTACACATTAATAACTTGAAATCATTGCACACACCTACACATATATTAGACTCACACATATACATATATTATAGTCTTTTTTTAAAAATATATACTATAATTTAAAATTGTTACCTGCAGGATATTTTTCCTAATCACTTAATCCTGCTAATACTACAAGCCTGGCACTTAAACTTGCTCATATTTGCAGAAGTACTAAATGATATAAGCTGAAATATATAACCTAATGTTTATTTACCTCAGATACTCTTATTAGTTCCTTTTATGATATATTTTAACTAATTCCAATAGCAGCCTTATTAGGTAGATATATTTTTTTCATGTTAAGTTTGATCACCATATCTACAATCTTAATCTACTACCTTTGGAGGTTTCATAGGGGTGCCATTAAGGAGTTATGTGAAGGAGGAGGTAAGAGTGAATAAAACAGGTTATAGGTTTTCCTACAAATAACTGTCTTAACAAATGATTAGATAGAAGAAAAATATGAATACAAATATTAAAAATATATGTAGGTTGTGGAATAGTAATAACAATGATTCAGTACTATAGTCAGATCTGAAACTAACTTGTTGCTTTAAACAGGATATTCCTTAAGGTAGCCATAGATAGAGGCAAAATGCTCCATACAATTTCTCAGGTTGGGCACCGAGTATTTTGGGGACACTGTCTCCGATAGCTGTGTTCAATACTGTTCTGTCAAATTCCAATTCCAGCCCTTATCATACGCATCAAAAAAGTCAGCTAAGTTTTTTTGTTTTTGCTATTGTTGTTGTTTTTTTAACGCTTTCCTCTACAAAACACATCATGTGCCATTAAAGATTAGGTTATGTACCAAACCAAAATCAGAAAAGAATAAAAGGTAAGATGAAGACACAACAATCAATACAATTATAGCTGTAAAATAGTTCCAAATTGGCTGAAAGCTAAACTCTCCTTTTTAAGGCTGGAGATCTGAAAGGCACCAAAGTCTCCGTTTTTAAAAAGTGGCTAAGCATGGGTAGTATATCTGTGTTGATAATTAATAACATTTTTATTTTCTTCAATCAAAAATGATCACTTTGTTAAAAGAATGCAATAGCATTGACTGAGTGTTCACCACTGCTCATGTCTGAAGCATGCTTCACCAGGCTACTCTCCTCCCCACACGTGGCTGATTTCTGTTCTCACGCTGCTGATAAAGACATATCAGAGACTAGGCAATTTTTAAAGAAAGAGGTTTAATGGACTCACAGTTCCATGTGTCTGACAAGGTCTCATAATCATGGTGGAAGGCAAAAGACACACATTACATGGCAGCAGACAAGAGAGAGTGAGAACCAAATGAAAGGGGAAACTCCTTATGAAACCATCAGATCTCACAAGGTATCAGAGACTTGTTCACCACAGTGAGAACATTATGGAGGAAACTGCCACCTTTATTCAATTACCTCCCACTCTGTCTCTCCCACAACATGTAGGAATTATGGGAGCTACAATTAAAGATGAGATTTGGGTGGGGAGAGACCCAAACCACATTAAAAGCAATGTTCTAAAATCTTTTTTTTTTTTTTGAGACAGAGTTTCACTCTTGTTACCAAGGCTGGAGTGCAATGGTACGATCTTGGCTCACCACAACCTCCACCTCCTGGGTTCAAGCAATTCTCCTGCCTCAGCCTCCTGAGTAGCTGTGACTACAGGCACGCGCCACCTTGCCCAGCTAATTTGTGTGCGTGTGTGTGTGTTTTAGTAGAGACGGGGTTTCACCATGTTGACCAGGATGATCTCGATCTCTTGACCTCGTGATCCACCTGCTTCGGCCTCCCTAAGTGCTGGGATTACAGGTGTGAAGTCATAAAACCGAGTGGAGGAGGGACAGAAAATGCTGATTTTTCCTAATTAACCATAAAAGGAATATATCTAATATCCTGGTAAATTCAAAATCCTGATTAAAGAAAGAAATAGGCTTCATTTTCACAATTTCTTCTAATCAACAATAAGAAAGCAAATCATATCCCTCAGTATCACTGACCAAAACATAATACTGTCATCAATTTTGATGAATATATTGGCTGTATTGGAAGCTGTTGGAGAGTAGAAAAATCTATATCACTAGAGGGCTTTTGTGTTCAAGTTGACTTTCCAAATTTAGCAATAAAAAGACTAAAAAGAGCTATCATTTCACCTATTATGACTATTCTTTCCATTTATAATCAAGAATGTTGCAAGATGCTGGAAAAAGGGTCACTATTCTTGTTCCTTGGAATGCATTCTTACTAAAGTGCAAGGCTTCTGGAACTTTTATTTTGCACAACGCTTTGGGCGAAAATCATTCTGAAAAGAAAATAATTCTGCCCCTCTGCTTCTGTATATTTTATGAACATTCTACCACCATAGTATCAAAGAATGAGAGTGCGTTCATGATTAAGAAGGAAATAAAAGACATCATGACAAGTACACACACAAAAAAAATAAGTACATTTTGAATTGAAATGTAAAAAGTGATCACATGCTAATATAAGACTTTTCAGTGTGGCAATAGCAAATATTAATATTTATAATGTTTTTCTCTGCCTAAAGCACACTTCCTCTGTACTGAACTGTTCTTTTAACAATTTATATGTTCAACTTTATATTTTTTTTGTGATTGATTGAGGAAATATGGAAGAACTGGATGTTTATTTACCTCAAGTTGTATCTCTAACTTCTTGCATTACTCATTATTAACAAAATTTGGCAACACTAACACAGAAAACAAACAAATGAACAAAAAATGAATTAAATGTTCTTTTGTAAAACACAAAGGGAACTGTTACAGATATGGTCACATTCAATACTTCGTTTTCTCAATGAGGGTGGATTCTGTCTGTTAAATGAGTAGCCACACAGATTATTATCCACTTGAATACTGAGGAAAACTTTGATCCAAGACACTGATTATCTTTAGGATGCTGCAAAGAATCAAACAAACTCCTGTCATTAATCCTGACTTGCTTACAAGTTTTACAAAATTTACAGTTTACTAGGATATGTCTGGGACACTTAGAAAACAGGAATGAATTTCATTTTCACTACTGTATTTGAGACACTCAGGGGAAACAATAGTGAAAACGAATTTCAGCAGTCAGTTGGCCAACTACATAATTTAATGCCGAAAACAAAAAGAAATTATAGGTTCTATCTTGTACAGGCAGCATTTGTTTTTCTCTTATTTTCATTATATTAAAGCCATGGATTTTGTTCCCACTTTAGGGAGAAAATGTATATATGGGTCAAAATCCCATGTTCTTCACCAGTATTAAGTAAACATTTATGTATAGGTACTGATTTCCATATTGGTAGCCATATCCTCGAGGCCAACCAGCTCATCAATGAATATCTTATTAACAAAAATGGTTTGTTTTCTGAAAATTGTAAGTAGTTTCTGTCTACACACATTATCCTTAGCTGCAACTCCACCTAAACACATTGTATTTCCACTTCCACTTCCTTCTCCATGAGCATGTGCCCTGTGCAGTCCCATAGGGGCCCGTTTTAGAAGGACCCCACACTTAATATAATACTCTGCTGTAGGCATACTCAAGTTTTTAATAATCTTTGGATTTTCATTTTCCACTGGGTTGCACAAATTATGTAGCTCGTCCTTAGGGTATTAGATTATTTTTACAAACTACAATTCTGGTACTTTCACTGTGTGTCCAAATCTGTCAAATAAACTCCTAAATGACATCTTTTCTATGTTTTCTTATCTGATTCTCATCTTGAAGAGCAATTTCACAGATCCCAATTTCCCAGAACTGATTCTGCATTGAATTTTTGCACATAAATTTCTATGTCGCATTGGAATATCTATTAGTAATTGCACACAACATGAGGCTGTGGTAAATGTAAGAGGCTTTATTTCTTGCTCATCCCACAGCTGCCCTAAGCAGCTCTCCTCCAAGCTTTGACTTGAAAATCCAGGATGCCTACCTCTTGCATCTTTACCTTCTGGAAAATTCAAAGGACTTGTTTTGACAGAAGAAGGAGAAAGTAGATGGCGATACAGAGTATTTTTTAACATACAGCCCTGGAAGTGGCTTATATCATTTAACTTACAATGTATTAGTCCCTGTTTGCTCATTTGATCCCAAAATAATTGAGGCAGAAGCTGAAAATGTAGTCTCTCTGTATGCCTAAGAAGTGGAAATAATGTAGTTCATTCTTAGCACTGCTGCTGCTAAACCTGGAGAGATCGTCTAATTCACTTTTTCTTTTCTGCAGTACCTCAGCCATATCTTTGGATTGTAGGAATTGAGCCAATATTTGCTGAATGTGTGATTCAGTGTACCAAGAGTGCTAACTTCCCTGAAGAGTCTTGAAAATTTCATTATTTCTGTTTACTTAGCCAAAATCATAGTCTCCAATACAGGAGTAGGACTTCAAAACAATCATTTTTATTACTTCCACCTCAAAAAGTTTTATGAAAAAAATAGAAAAAGAATTGTTGAAAGAAAACAGAGGAGACACCGTATTGGAATTAACTTTTGCATTTTCTGAGAAATTATGGAATCTATATTTTATGAGACTTTTGTCTCATGTAAGAATATTCAACTCATTTTTCAAGTCTAAGAAAATAAGTCAGAATGGTAGACAAAAGTAAGTTGAGCAGTTAGCTTATGACTCTTAAGTATAATATATAGGGGAAGTAAAATAGATAAAGTAGTAATTTATGAGACCTAACATATTAGAAAAAGTAAGCAAACTATAAACATGAACATGTTCTGAACATAGATATGAAGAGATGAAAAAATCCATAAGACCCTAGTATGATAATATGCTAAGCACTCTGGAAGTACCAGAAGCTGCTATAGCCATGATATACTTAGTTTATATGAGGTACGTAAGGCATTTCAAATACTCAATGTTTTTAAATCATCCATCCATTGGTGGCACTTTTTTTTGGTAGGCCAAATAATTAAACAGATTTAGAACTTAAAATATTTAAACTTCATAGACTAAAATTCATTTGAAATGAAAGTTTAAATCTGGTCAGGAAATAATCTTTTTTATGACAGAATGCCAGCAAAAACAAGTACGTAATAAGGACTGAGATAGAAAATTTCAAAATACAATTATTATAACTGACACAGGTAGGGGTGATTAATCGATAAAATGTTCAGAGGAACATCCATTAGAATACAAAATATTTATACTTTTGCTTGACCTGCCTTCTATCCACAAAACATAAGTGTAATTCAAGATAACTTGCTTCTGTTGGAAACAGGCTTCCAGATCCCATATTTCTTGGAGGAGGCATTGTTCATCCCTTTTCATTCTTTTTTCTCTAATCTTGTCTTCATGCTTTATTTCAGTAAGTTGATCTTCAATCTCTGACATCCTTTCTTTGGCTTGATTGATTCAACTATGGATACTTGTGTGTGCTTCACAAAGTTCTCATGCTGTGTTTTTCAGCTCCTTCAGGTCCTTTGTGTTTCTCTCTAAACTGGTTATTTTAGTTAGCAATTCCTCTAACTTTTTTTCAAAGTTCTTAGCTTCCTTACATTTGGTTAGAGCATGCAAAACAAAAAATAGAAAATTTCAGGCCAATATCCCTGATGAACATCAATGTGAAAATCCTCAATAAAATACTGGCAAACCAAATCCAACAGCACATCAAAAACTTATTCACTATGATCAAGTCAGCTTCATCCCTGGGATGCAAGCCTGGTTCAACATACACAAATCAATGAACATACTCTATCACATTCACAGAACCAATGTGAAACCACACTTATCTCAACAGATGCAGAAAAGGCCTTTGATAAAATTCAACATACTTCATGCTAAAATCTCTCAATAAACTAGGTATTGATGGAATGTAGCTCAAAATAATAAGAGCTACTTATGACAAACTCACAGCCAATATCAGACTGAATGGGCAAAAGCTGGAATCATTCCCTTTGAAAACTAGCACAAGACAAGGATGTCCTCTGTCCCCACTCTTATTCAATATAGTATTGGAAGTTCTGGCAATGGCAATAGGCAAGAGAAAGAAATAAAGAGTATTTGAATAAGAAGAAAGGAAGTCAAATTGTCTCTTTTGCAGATCACATAATTGTATATTTAGAAAACTGCATCGTTTCAGCCCAAAATCTACTTAAGCTGATAAATAAGCAACTTCAGCAAAGTCTCAGGATAAAAAATAAATACGCAAAAATCACAAGCATTCTACATCAATAATAGACAAAATGAGAGAGAAATTATGAGTGAACTCTTATTCACAATTGCTACAAAGAGAAGAAAATACCTAGGAATACAACTTATGAGGGATGTGAAGGACCTCTTCAAGGAGAACTACATATCACTCCTCAAGGAAATAAGAGAGGGCACAAACAAATGAAAAAAACCTTCCATGATCATGGATTGAAAAAAATCAATATCATGAAAATGGCCATACTTCCCAAGGTAATTTATACACTCAATACTATACCAATCAAGCTATCATTGACTTTCTTTACAAAATTAGGGAAAAAAATCTATTTTAAATTACATATGGAACCAAAAAACAAAACAAAACAAAATTTATAAGAGAAAACAACCCCATTTAAAAGTGATCAAAGGATATGAACAGACACTTCTCAAAAGACAATTGTGCAGCCAAAAACTATATAAAAATAAAAGCTTATCCTAACTGGCCATTAGAGAACTGCAAATCAAAACCACAATGAAATATTATATATATATGGTATATAAGTATATATATATATATATATATATATATATATATATATATATATATATCAGGTATATACTTACAACGAAATGTTTGAGAATTACTGCTATATGTTAAATCACTCATTGTCACTTACTGAAAAATTAAGAAGGACATCTACTGTATAGCAGGGTCAGGAATATGGTTGCTGAGTTGAAGACAAACATATCTACCTTGCTATTGAAGCTCCTTTTTTCCCCCCCATATTTGTCATTTACCACAGTCTGAAGTAGCTAGTCTGAGTCATATCAGCTAGAGGACAGGCCAATTCCAGCCCTTAGCACTGGACGGAGATCTCTTTTGAACAAGATCACCTCCTCAATCAGGAATCTTCATGTTGCATAGTTATGTGGATGTTCCCTTTTAATATGCAGTGTATTATGGTAGATCAATCTCCCAATATTAAAGGAATGGCCATGGTGCACTCAATGCAGCTGTGCCAAACCTCAGCACACCCTCTGCTCTCCTTTTCTCATAAATTCTTATTCCCTTCTCATTATTTTCAAGACACCATCTGAATTACTTTTCCCATTTTCAAAATTGTTAAGACCCTGAAAGATACATTGCTCTTCGGCAAAAATCGTTCTTCCTCGTGATTCCTCAGGAATCACTCTAATTGCTGTGTAGCCTGCTATTGCTCAGACTTTATGCCCTGCCGCAAAATTCAGACTTCCTGAGAGATCAGTTAGAACATCGGATCTGATATGTCAATATATTTGGTAGCCTGTAAGCCAATATCTGATAATAAAAGGGTCAGTATTCCTCACTTAATGCCCAAATCTACTCTATAATGGATAATAATATACACTTGTCAAAGAGAGTCTTTCCTTTTTAAAATTCTGTCTTATAGACTTCTGTGAACTTCTCAAAGTACAAAAAGTCTTTACTTATTCATTTCTATTTACCACTGCGACCAATTCCCACAAGTGATCATAGGAAGAAACAATTATGTTCACTATCAACCTCTATTCTCAATACAGGCTCAACACAGGCTGGGGGATAAATGAAATATTATCTTGTTTTTCCAGTTACTTTTGCTACATAATAAGTCATTCCAATTCAGTGGTAGCAAACAACCTCTTCACAGATTATGTGAGTCAGGAATTCAGAATGGGTTCAGTAGGGAAGGCTGTAGGTAGCTGGGAGATTGTGGATTGGATTTATTCAAATCCTAACTCACATACTTACTGACAGTTGATGCTGCATCACAGCCCAACTCCTAAGGGTTGACTATCACACTTAGACACTGCTTCTCCCTGTTGTTTCTGTGAAATTATCTACTTTGGAGACACAGAATGGCAAGTGTTTTCATGCATATGCATATCAAACAAAACAGAACAAACAAGGCAGAAGCAATACCACTTTTTATGAACTAGTATTAGTAGCCACAAAATGTCACTTCTGTCTGGTCAAAAACTCACTCAGATTCAAGGGTGTTGGACCTAGACATACGACTTTTGACTGAATCACTAAATACCACACTGTGGGAAGAGCATGTAAGATGAGAGAAATTATTGCTGCCATGTGCAATATGTTGAGGATTTAAAATAATAAAACAATGCTAATTATAAATCATTTACCAAGCACATAGTATATGCATGCCTGAATACTAAATGCTTTACAATTAATATATTATTAAATAGTTATACCACCTCTTGTCATATATATTTTTCCCCATTATTCCTATGTGGATTTGAATTTTGAGAGGTAAATGAATTGACCAAGATCATTCTACTGGTACATTGAAGAAGCAAGCAACAGATTTCAAACCTCATCTGTCTTACCTTAAAGATTTATAACTGTCCTATGGTTCCTGACATTTGTATTTTCCTCTAAAGTATCACTGGCTTACCTATATGAGATACGTAAGAGTTTTCATAAGAAAACTCTTCCTGGTTCTGTAACTACTGCGTATAGCCCCCATGCACTGAGATGAGATTATTTAGGAAGTGTTTTGAATGCCTAAGAAAATTAG